TCCAAAACCAGTTGAAATTTCGAATACTGGCTTCGGGAAAATTGGCAAGGAAAAAAATTTCAACCAAAAAGTTAAAAGCTATTCTCCCAAAGACTAGCGGCTATGCCAAGCTGACACTTCACACAGTTAAAGGTTATTGAGAAACATAAGCTTAGCCGTAAATGTAAAAGCTGTTCAGAAGGATTAGAAAGTTAGCCATGTTACCTTCGACAGATCGCTCAACTTAAGAAGAAACCCAGCCATAAATGTTCTCTTGCCGACTGCACAATGAAACATTTGTCCACTTCCCAGAAAAAAAGGCATTAAAAAAGCAGCGAGAAAAACAGTTTGCCAAACCAGTTTCCCTGCTAATTGAGTAGTACAAAAACAAGAAATATCACAAATCTAAAGTGTTCGGCTGACGTGACGCAGTGTACCTCATTTTGGTCATTACTTTCTTGTGAATTTCACTCTTTCAATTGCAGCTTTCACCAGCATAATTTTATGCGAAAACGTGAGGAAGGCTCTTTTCCAAAATCGAAATTTGGCTTGAGGGGTCATGAGAGACTCTGATCATAGCCTCTTGGGTGCCGTGAATAAATATCTTGTTTCACCTGAAGGAGATGATGTTTTTATCACTTAAATTTGTAACAAAATCAGTTGCATCATTGATTAACTTCAAGTTTTTATTCTCTCTCATATAGTCCGTTTTAAAGAAGGCAAACCTGGTGATGGTGACCTAGATGAGCTGGGGGGAAAGATTGCTGCAAAGTGGCAGAAGCTGGGACTTCGCCTTGACATTAGTCAGGATGTACTGGATGAAATAGATGCTAATGCCAGAGAAAAACCATATCGGATGTTACTTCACTGGAGAAATACAACAAGTTCGACTACATTTTATTGTGACCTCTACAACGCTTTGTGTCATCACAGAGTAGGTCTCAATAACGTGGCCAACGAATTTTGTGGTAAGGAAACTCCATGTCGCATTTTGTTACAGTTTGACTACTTGAACCAGGTGTGGAAATGAAAAAAATAGCCGAGGATAGGGTCTCCTCACAATCTACAAGCCAGTATTTTTAACCTTCATACATTTGCCTCAATACAATAGTTTTCACTCACATGTGATACAAAGCAATGTTTTCTTAACTGCTATGAAATAATACATAGGTTCGGGTTAAGTTAAGGAGGGACCTTAAAGATGACTTTCTTGAAGGGGTTACGGGACCATTCCCCGAGATATCTGAGAAAATCTCGACAAATCCGTACAGCATTGTTACGCACTGAAGAAGTTTTAGAGGCAAACTTTAATGTCAGTTTCAACCAC